CTGCACCTTGTATTTGGAGGATTCAGGGCACAGCGACACTGCAGACATTTCCCTAGGGCCTGAAAGGTGTTAGTCACCAGCGGAGGTTCAGGGTTACAGGCCGCACTGAGCCAACATTGAGAGGCATGTGATGGAGGGTCCGGGGCGCCTCTGCCCAGGCCAGTACTGCCCTGCTTGCTAAACAACCATGCAAATGTCACTGTAGTGGGCTGAATGCTGGCTGCAGCAGGTATGTCCATATCCTCATCCCTGGAACCTGTGAATGTGACTTTCTCTGGAGAGTTTTGCAGCTGTGTTAAATTAGGATCTTAAAATCATTCTGGATTATGTGGGTGGGCCTGTGTTGCACACCAACTCTTTTCAGGTTTCTGGACCTGATTCCAATGTGTGTGTGTGTGCGTTGGGGGGGCATTGGGAGGGGAGAGGGTCTTCCCACACAGAACACCAAGCAATTCTTAAACACTAGCAGGGGGTCCAAGAACTCAACTCAATTCTGACACTATCTGCCCAGAGATGGCACCAGATTCCCTAGGTTAAAAGCTCTGAACTGCAAGGCTGCCTCAATCCCCCACTCCAGATGCCAGTCACAAGCCCCAGGCTGTTACCTGTGTGCTTCTGACCAACTGGCTACAGATTAAAGGTTCCAACTGCCTTCTCCTTAGGTTTGATTGACTTGCTAGAGTGGCTCACAGAACTCGGGAAAACATGTCCACTAACTTAATAAAGGATTCCATAAAGGATGCAAGTTAACAGCCAGATGAAGAGATAATAGGGCACATGCACGGGGAGCTCAGGGCCTGGCTAAGAGGCTCATACACGGGTTCTGGTTTCCTAAACTTGGAAGTTCTCTCCCACAGAGAAGCAGGTTGCAAAAGGTAGATATGCTCTTCCTGTGTTTTTTGTGAGGGCTTCATGCATAGTCGTGATTGACTAAATAATTGGTCGTTGGCTGATCCAACTTCCAGCCCCCGCCCTTGGGTGGGGTCCAAAAGTCTCTCATCAACAGGAGAAGACACCCATTCTACCTTTAAGGCTCTGAAGTTTTTTCGGGAACTGTAAAGGAAGACCAAATATACCTGAATGACTAAATACATATTTCTTATAACTCATTGTGTCGCAGGGCCCTAGATACAAGGACAATGTGTCTCTTATAAGAAGACAAATAGAGGAAAGACGAAGAAGAGAAGGCCATGTGGGCATGGAGGCAGAGACTGGAATGATGGCAGCCCCAAGACAAGAAATCCTAACGGCCATCAGAGGCTGGAAGAGGTAAAAAAGGATTATTTCCTAACTTTCAGAGGGAGCTTCACCCTGCCAACACTTTGATTTCAGACTTTTGGCCCTAAACTAGGAGGGAATAAATTTTTGTTTTAAGCCCCTAAATTTGTGGTTCTTTATTATGGCAGCCCTAGGAAATTAGGGTTAATTATGATCACTAATAATGTTGAGCATTTATTAGGCCTGATTATGTACCAGACACTCTATGAGACCTTTTTAGAAGCATGAGCTCATCTAAACATTGCAACAACCCCGAATTAGACGCTATTATTTTTTAACTGAAATATAGTTGACTGCAATGTTGTGTTGGTTTCAACATAGTGATTCAACAATTATATACATTGGTGCTATTACTATCTCCATTTTATAGATGAGTAGGTGAGGGTCAAAGTAGCTTGCTCAGGGCTAGTAAACTGGGATTTGAACCCAGGTCTGCCTGACTCTAAAGATCACCTTGAAGCACACACCTTATGCCTAGCCAGTTGGAACGGACAAACTCTCTGCTTGGAGATTTTTAGCTGGTCGGTGTTCTTTGTCCTCCCAACTTAGAGGGGCCTGATTCTCTACCACCACCTCAGAAGTGAGATATAAATGACAATTGACCATTCTTCTAACTCAGCAGATCCTGGGAACACTGTTTCTATGTTATAAAGAAACATTTTAGGCAGACACAATCAAGCATAGTTCTTTGCATCTATTTAGCCTCAGGGTCATTTGGGTTTAGTTGAAGATGTTGCCAAGATGAATCAGAATTTGGGGGAAACTATTTGTCCTTGGAAAAGGACAATAGTCAGGATGGATTTTTGTTAGTTTGTTTTTGCTGATTTTGAATTTGTGTGAAGACTATCTGTCCCAGGAGAAATAGAAAGAAAGGTTCATTTTCATAAAACTTAAAAATATCCTCTCTGAGCTCACTAAGCTATCAGATCAGAACCTCAGCACTGGGCTCTCTCTGGTGACGGCATGACTTAGGAAGGATTTCTTTCCTCCATTTTTGTCCTGTCTTTTGGGGATAAGAAGGGATTGTTCTCTTTCTGCTGACAACCCAGTAACTCCTGTGTGTGTGTGTGGTGGTGGTGGGGGGGCAGTTGGGGGAAGGAGGTCTGAATATGGTGGTTACTTTTATTTTGTTACCCTTTCTTTTCTTTCAAACAAAGCCTACCCATTTTATATAGGTGGAAACATTGAGTCTTGGTGCATCAAAAGGTTTCCTCCAAGATAACTCAACCAGACAGACTTAATTACAAAGGTTGCTCTTGTCCTCTTAAGAAACATTTTAGTGAAAACGAAAGCTGGTACATAAATTAGTTTTGGGGCTAATTTTAAAGCCAGTCATGTGTCCTTCCCTTGCTCTTTGAGTATGAGTCTGAGATTCAAAGTTGAGCACAAAGAAACCAATATCAATCAGGAGTTGCTCCCTGAGCAATTTGGTTGATTGCAGGAATGCAAGTTTCATTTTTCAGCCACTGCAAAGCTTCATTGCTCGGGGTGGATTAGGTGCTCCAGGTAGGGCATGGCCCACGGAGACTATGCAGGGGGACCTGAGTTCAGAGCCAGACCCAGGAAGTGACCATGGGTCACTATTCTCTCTGTACCCAGATGCCAGATCAGTAGAGAAATGCTAATCTAACCTCCCTCACAAAGATGCTTTGCAGTGTGCTAACCAACCATAGGTAATTGCAACCAGGACCAAAGGCTTCTCTGGTTCTCCTGAGGGGCTGATGGTGAAAGGGAAGGGCAGAGACGGGGCTGCCCACACCCCTTAGGGTGCCTCAGGGCTAAGCAGCAGCAGTGCAGACAGAAGGTGCTGGCCTAATACAATGGAAGTTTATCCCTGACCTCATTTTTCTGAAGCCCCTCTTTCTGTCTAAGATGCCTGTATACAGTCCCCAGTCTCCAGGAGCTTCCCTATCTTCTCATTTCTCTAAACCAGAACCATGAAACAATTGTATAAATCCATTCACATCAAGGAGAATGGACAAACTATTACCTTCCTGAGAGCATTTGCGTCTTGAAGACTTAAAGCAAAAGGTCTGTGCAGTTTCAGACGTCAGAGGAATTAGGTAGGAGGGTGAGATGTGCTCTGGGGGGCAGGGAGTGAGGGAGGATGTGCAGAAAGTCAGGGTGAAAGCAGGACAGGCATTTTCTGAACAGAAGGCAGAAGTCATTAAAAAGGGGTCCAGGGGCGAATGAAGGAGACAGCAGGAGCTACGGAGATAAGAGAGCAGAAAATCTTGAACTAAAAATTCATATTGAAATTTGAATCTTATCTGCTTTTCCCTTTAAGTAAAAGATTCAAGAAAAGCAAGTAAAACCCACTTATTTATACTTTCATTCATCCATCCATGCATTCAAATGAAATTGTATTTACTACGCTCCAGGTATCAGAGAGTGAGTGAGCCATGAACAAGATTTATAAGGTCTCTGTCTGTATGGAAACATGGAACTTCCTGACTAGTGGGTAAAACTAACAATAAACATACCATTTTGTATGGCTGTAATAGAGGGAGCGATGATATTGCTTTAAGACCAGACTTTAGGATGGGAGAGTAGGTGTCCTTGCTCTGGGAGAAATAGATAGGCAACATCTCCCCTAAATTCACTTGACTTCCCCGTCTCCTTCTAACCCATTCACTGTTGCCTTTAGGATTCCTAGCACTGGCAGAATCTTTCACCATACCGTGAAGAAATGAACTGAAAATGCTACTGGGAGAGCAGAGTTAGAGGCTAAAATTCTTACTAGTGTGTAAATGACTTCCAGAAAGCATTTTGAAAGCGAAGAAGAGGAAAGCATGTAGCATAGGTCAAGGGAAGATGGAATAAGAATAAAAAAGGGAAATTTGAGGGGGCTAATGTCAAGCACTGGCAGCTTACTTAACCAATTGTCCTAGCTATGACCCCGAGGCTGAGTGCTTGCTGAATAGAACCAAAACCCAATTCTGCCTTTCCTGTGACACAATGGCCAAGAATCTCTCATACAAGAGAGATCCTGAACCAGGCTGGCTGCAACCTGATAGACGGCAGAGCGGTCAAAATATTTAGCTGTGAAGCCCGTACTGTTTTGGGGAAAGGCTGAACTTGCATTCCTGCCGCAGACCTTGGTGGGCTCCCATCTGACCATGTTTCCTGCCTCCCCTGCCCTTCGCCTCAGGGACTCAACTGAGTGACTCACGGCTTGTCTCTGGCCCTGAGCGCCTTGCAGGGATTTATTGATCCAACCCAGCTTCCTCTCTGTCCTGCTAGAAAAAGATGCCCTATGCCAATAAAGGAGTTTTGACTCTATTTCTGTGAGAACAACCCTACTTGACTTTACATCTTGGGAGGCAAACAGAAAAGCAGCTAAGCTGTCCATTCTGTAGAAGGGGAAGCTGAGAGGGACTTTCTCCCAGGTCCAAGTGGCCTAGCATAAACTTGGACCTCTGACTTTTGGCCTTTTTGCACACATTTAGGGTCGTCAATTCATTTGAATATTAATGACTTGGGCAAGATTGCATAGGTACTTGCTGCCTCTAAAATCAAAACATTCTTTTTCTATAAAACCATGGTTTAGAAACTGAGAACAGTATCTTCAAGGCGAAAGAAAGTTTCTCCCATTTTTTGAAACGCATTCATTTCAGACACGTTGAACCACTGGGTGGGTGATGGACAGATTCTTTCAAAAAAATTTAATGACTCCTTCATTATACAAATAATAAATGTTCACCACAAGAACCTTGGAAAAGTTAGAAAAACATGAAGGGGAAAATAAAAAACACCTGTAATCCTCCCACTCAGATATAACTGTTGCTGACATTTTGATGTATATCCTTCTGGTCCTTTCTCATACACAAATGACCACATTTTAACAACTGAAAACATGTGGCATAAGCTGACTGACAACTTGCATTTCATTTCATAATATTTCCATGACCATTTTCTCACATTCAATTTTTTTCAAGTCATGTCTGATTCATAGCATATTGTCTGTCCTACGAACGATGTTCCTAATGTACTTAACCCATTCGGATTTGCAAGGTTGTTATCAATCTTTATTGTAAACACCACAACGATGGGCATGCTTGGTCTTATAAACATTTAATGATGTTGCCACCCAGTGATTTGTCTGGGTTTTGGTTTGAGAAAAATTGAAAGTGGGGGAAGAAATAGACACAGTTGATTGGGCACTAGCTTGATTTCTGTCTGTCGGAGAAGGGAGAGAAGAGAGGCTGCGGAGTTCAAGTGCGTCCTCTTGAAAGGTCATTTCCTTCCTCTGAGCTCTTAATTCCATCCCTCTAACTTGGCTTCCGTGCTGTTTATCATCTCCGTCTCCTCTGCAGCTCTTTGTCTTCTCTCTGCCCTTCCCGTTCTCAGCGATAATCCTCTGCCTTCCGCTGTCGCCAGCCGGGAACCCACCTCCTCAGACCCTCCACGAGCTTGCCGGCTGCTGCTGAGCGCTCTCTGTGTCTGGACTCGGAGCCTGCGAAGTTATTTGTAAGAGCAGCAAACGAAGGATCCTTGTCACAGTATCTGAAAGTCATGCCTGTAAAACTCCTTGGTAAACCCCTGCACTGTTTGCCTGTGGGTATACCTGATGCCCCAGCTATCACTGACCAGCAAAGTGTTAATAAGCTCAAAGGAAATTAAACATGGGGTCAACTCAGGATTTCTTTAATTTCTTCACTAGACTAAGCTCCTATCCCTCTATATCTTTCTCATCAGACACTATGAATTTGTCCTAATAACAACTAGAGAAATTGGGAAGAGCAGTATTCCCTAGCTACAGTTCAAGAAACAGATAAGAAAGTTCATAAAATCAAATAAGGCCCAACTGAGTGCCTTAAAACAAAATTCATTTGTTGCAGGATTCTAAGAATAGTTCCCAATGCTGTCCTTCACCTTCACAATTACTTTCATCTTCAGTTCTAAATCAGAATGGCACAGAGCAGCAGAATTTATACATTACGTTCATAAGAGAACAGACAGCTCATTAATTCTTAATGTTGGTGGGATTTGACTGCTTCACATCATAGGCTCCATTCTGAAGTATATCCTGGTCTGCTTTTCTGAAATGACAAAGATGTCTTGTTGATAACCTCAGGGCTATTAAAAACTGGTGTCCTTCTTGTTTGAGACAAGGTTACAGCCCCTCCCTGACCAAGGGAGGGTTTGGGTGACATCTATACTAATCATCTCATCTTCTTTCATTCACAAACTCATTTTTTCAAATATCTTGAGACTTCCATAGGTGCCAGAGAAAAAGCTCTTGTCTTCTAGGAGGGAGACAAACCAATACTTAACATAATGAAAATGTTACAAAGGAAAATAAAGCCAAGTAAGAGAATGGTGTGAGGGATGGCTGTAGAGAGTAATATTTGAGATCTGGTAGTTAGGGAAGGCTTCTCTGCGGAGGTGGCATTTAAGTGCGGGAACAAGTCCCGGAATTAACTACCTGGAGAAGAGCAGAAAGGACAAAGACCTGGAGATGGGAAAGGCTCCACGAGAAAACCAGCCAAGTGGCGAGGGGGCTGCGTGCAGAGAGCCAGTGATCTGAGGGGGCGGGGGGGCCAGCTCTCGGAGGCTCCACGCTCATGACTTCATCTAATCCTAATCACCCCCCAAAGCCCATGTCCTAGTACCATCACACTGGGGGGTCAGATTGCAACATATGAATTTTGGGGGGACGCAAACATTCAGTCCATGACACGTGCCATGATGTTGTCCAGTCCTTCCTGAGGCTTCCATTCATCCACCACCACATTTCTTGCACATCTGCACTGGGGATGTGGACACAAATAAGAGAGGTCCTGCCTTCTGGTGTCTTAGAATCTAGTGGTTGTCTAGAATCTGTACATCACCCAGAATGCAGTGAGATTACAACACACGCCCCCACCCCAGCCATATACACACACAAGTTTGGAAGTTCTGGCATGGAGGTTTTATTCTTTTCATTAAAGAGCCTTGCTGGCCACCTGGCAGGATGTGTCCCTAACATGTGTGAAAAGCATCCATTGACCCATTTATCCTCACTTGACATTGGTACTATCCATTTACAGTTGGATTTCACTTGAATTTGGATCTTCGTCACTTAAAAAAATCTTCTAAGAGATCACCCTATGATGCAGGGCTGAAATGACAAGTTACCAGTGTAGAAGCCGGTTCATCATGGATCAGCAATGCAACTGAGGGCAGCAAGGTCTGCCAAGCCTGAGCGCTCACAGAGGCGTCCGAGCCAAGCAAGGGACACACTCATAAGGAAGGATTATTGTTCAAATGCAGAGCAAACAGCTCTATCAAAAAGCTTCCAGATGACTTTCTGGATAAGGCGTGAAACATTCAGTGATATTTTATTCAGCTCAGGAAAACATGTACTGCCAATTTAAGCACATAGGCGGTGGAGTTGCAAGCAGGGACTGGTGAAAAAGCATGTTTCTGAGATGCTATATACCTGCCGGGGGCCAAAACAGTTTGGAACTGTCTGTCTTTAGTGTCTGGAAAAAGCTTAGACTCAAAAGTTTCATTGTGATAATGAAGAAAATAAGTGCTGTGTAGTTGTCTAAATAAATACATGCTGCTGTTAATTTTTTAAAAACAGAATTATGGACATATGTGATTTTATTTTTCTTAAAAAAATTATTACATTTACAGATTATTATTTGTTGTTAGTTTTTATGACTTGGCAGTTTCTTTTACTCAATGGCGTCATGGAAAGAAGGAAGTAGAACAATAAACATAAATGTTCTTGAAATATTTCAAAACTTTAAATCAGATATTTTAATATTCGGCAATTTCTTTAAAGGATTCTCCCAACATCTCTAATCCATTAATCAAAAACCTCATTAGATAATGTGTACTTTCCAAATAATTTAAGATCCCCTCCGTCTAACTTGTAGACAGATGATCACTCTGGTCAGAAAGGAAGCAGCCAGCAGGAGCCGGTAAATGCAGCGCCGTGCTTAAAGGAGCTGGTGGGAGGGGGCGGCTTTTTGGGGCATCTCCCTGAATAATGAGCTCTAACAGCCAGCATTGGCCCTGGCACAGGAGGGCCCTGCTTGATGTCCCGCTTACCTGGGCAGGTCCCACTTACCTGGGGCAGGTCGCACACCCTCTCTGGGTTCCAGCTTCTCCGCCTGTGAAATGAAGACAGCCACCGATACCTAGACATGGGGAGGAAGATGCCTCACGTGCAGAGGTGCTCAGTACAGGCTCTGTCCTAGCTCAGTTGGGCTGTAGCAGAACTCTGGGAATCGGTGGCTTGTAAACAAGCATTCATTCATTCATTCATTGCGTTCGTTCTTTTGTTCATTCATCGATTCATTCACTTTTACTAAGGTATTATTGATATAAACTCTTATGAAGGTTTCACATGAAAAAACAATGTGGTTACTACATTCACACATATTATCGAGTACCCCCGCATACCCCATTGCAGTCACTGCCCATCAGTGTAGTAAGATGCCACAGAGTCACTATTTGCCTTCTCTGTGCAACACTATCTTCCCTGTGACCCCCCACACCATGTGTACTAAACATAATGCCCCTCTGTAAACAAGCATTTATTGCTCACAGTTCTGGAGGCTGAGAAGTCCAAGATCAGGGTGATGGCAGATTCGTGGCTGGTGAGTCCTGCTTCCTCACAGATGGTCATCTTCTCCCTGTAACCTCACGTGGCCGAAGAGAAGGGCTAGCTCTCTAGGGTCTCTTGTAAGGAATGAACATAAGGCTCTGCCCTCATAACATAATATCCTCCCAAAGGTCCTACCTCCAAATACCATCACGTTGGTCACGAATGATGAAACGTGAAGCGTTTAACACAGGGTTATACAGTAACAAAGTCACGTATTTATTGACAAAAATGAAAGACCAGTTATCTTCCCAAAATAGGTCACATCGTTTCAACACGTGAATTTTGTGGGGGACACACACATTCAGACCATAGCACGGCACTTCCCACCTGATGCCCTTCTAGAACTCCTGAACCGATGGTGAATCCCTTCAGTGATCTGGAGGGCTGGTGAGAGCGCCACTGCTATTTAACCTGAATCACACAAAAAAGCTGCCGTCTCTAGATTCGCGCCCTTTACCTGGTGCTTTCACTGCATCCGTGTTTCACTCTTTCTCCTTTTGCACAAACTTTGTGCTTCCCTCTACTTTCGACCTGGCTCTGCCTCCTGAGAAATCTCATTACTAATCTCACCACAGGCCTCCACCCAGGACCCAGTCCATGCTCACTTGGACCTTGGCCAGCGTGGACCCTGGAGGTTATGCAGTCTCTTGACCTCACTTCATAAAGGGCCACATTTAAATCGCCTCCCATCAATTCTTTTCAGTATTGGGGTAAATTTAAAACACACTGTAAAAAAATACCAAGTTCTTTTTCAGCTGTATTCTCCAAACATTAGGGACTAATCTAAAAGAGCCCAGATAAAATCATGCTATATTAAATACAGGTGAAAAGGGTCTCATTTAATTTCATATTTTGAGTACCTATCTTCCCCAAGCAATGCTGAGATACATAGAGCAGGCCTTACAGTCTATGGTTCCAAAGAGCTGAAAAGGTTTACTGTGTATAGTATTCTTTATGTCATACACAATGAATTCAAGTCTCACCTTGGAGATCTATAGGAAGCATGTTCTGCATATATCAAAGTTCTGAAAAAGCAAGGAGATATACAGATTAGGGCTGTCAGAGTCCTACGTGGGAATCACAGAAAGTCCTAGATGGAAGGGACTAGAACACTTCTACAATGCCCTCATTGACAAATGAGAGAATCATGCCCTACTAGTTTACATGCCAGTACTGCCATAACAGATTTTTGGTTTTGATCACTTAAAACCATACTGTGAGGCAACTAAATTTAAGACATCTGACGCATAGATATATATTTTTTAAAGAGATTTTGAGTTCTCTTACCAAAAGCTAGTGCTCAGTGAACTTAAACAAATGACAACTTAGTGGAAATAATTTGTATTGAGCAATAGAATTTAAAGTCTGATACAAAATGATCAACATGCACTTTGTTTACTTACCTATCTGGTCTTTCATTTTTGTTAATGAATATGTGACTGTTACTGTATAGCCCTGTGCTAAATGCTTTGTATTTCATGTCTGCATTTACCTTCAGGCATCTGAGCTAAGCATCCATCTCTCTTTTTGCAGTTGAGGAAACCAAGATTCAGGAAAGTGAGGTGACCTACTTGCGGTCTCATAGCAAGTAACAAAGCCTTATTCTACCACACTTGCTATACCACCACCAAGTATACATGGACCCCTTCTAGCACAGGTAAGAGTGCACCCAGTTCTAAAATAAGAGTAGAATTTAGGGTCTAGCTTGGGGCCATCATAATTTCTGCCTTCAGGAGTCCTTAAGACAGCTTAAGGTTCTTGACTGCTCCCTTGTGAGGGTATAATACGACTTTCGGCCTTGGTCCTAAAAGACACTTTACCCAGTATTCCTAGAGCAGAGGCGGCACAGTGAGCAGGGAGGTGGGGCTTGGCTAACCTCTGGTAACCTGGCTTTACAAAGGACAACAAGAGCATTTCATGAGGGAGCACAGGAGGGCATGAGGCTGTTGGAACCTAGTGTCAACTGTTTGCTACAACCCTTAGCAACATTGTCAAGCGGAAGGCATAGAACTTGTTGAAAAGTGCTGGTTTGGTTAAAACATCAAATTCATCAATCAAGGGAACTCCACATCTATGCTCATTATTTGAACACAGAATGCCAGTATTGAGAATTGGTTTACAAGTCAACAGGGAATATTACCGGTGGTTGTTTTCAGAATTAAGACGCCATGTGTTTGGTTAGGAGGAATTTTCAGAAGGGCTGAGGACCCCTGTGAAATTGCCCATCGGACAGATGGACTCCGCTTGTGGCTGAGATGAGTCTCAGTTCCTGATCCTTCCCTTCGGGCTGCTCCTCAGCGTGGCTGCGAGGGGGCAGGAGGAGGGCATCTGGGTGGGAGGCGTGGCTGGGCGTCATTCTTTTATGGTGTAATTACTAATTCCCCATAGAAACTCCGAGCAACATTCTATACATTTCACTAATGAGAACACCCAAATTCCGCCCTCTTCCCGTTTTACCTCTTCTTTAAAAAATACGCAGTTTCTCCCACACAACTAGTAGTTCAGTGAAATGCGTTGTCTGTCAGCCTTCTAGTCATTCGCTCGTGCCGCCACCTGCAAGTGAAATGCCGTCTTCCAGGCAATCTTCCATCACCACCTACTGAAATCCAGCCTTAGAAGGCTTGGGTGAAGCCCAGTGCTGGCTACTTCCCTTCTGTCCAGCGTGATGACCAGCTCCTTCACAGAGCTCTTCTGAATCACCTTGCAGGAAGAGTTCTGTCTCCCTGGACTCTTACAGTAGCTAGTTTTTATCAGTCTCATGGCACCGCCACAAACCATCCTTGCTGTCATCATGTGTGTTTGATCCCAGTCTAGCAAAGGCTCCTTCGGGGACCGAAGTCCTCTCTACCTACCTCGATCCTCTGTACCAAGCACTCTCTCAGTGAGCCAGGTACCATTCTTCAAGTCTGGTCAACACAAGAACATAAATGGACGACAGAGAGGACAGTAAGCATTGTGCAGGAGAGCTCGGATGACTGGGGAGGGGACACCCACCGACAACCGCATGATTAGGTCTCTGCCACCGCTCTGTCATCAGTTACTGGGTCTTGTTCTGCTTGTTCCCACTACTTCCACTCTGAGCCCCAGCTGGGTTCAGACATCCTATGCAAATTATGGCAGGACACTGGCCCAGGAACTTTCTCCCTTAGGGTGACAAATATATTGGAAATGAGAAATGATGCTCATAGAAATGTCAGAATGGTTTGGCAAAAATAGTTTTAAAATCTATGTGTGGAATGAAAACTATGGCTGATGGTGCAATGCTGAGAGCAGAGAGCAAACTAAGGCAATCACTATTTTGCTCTTCTCTTCTCCATTGTGGACAATATTCTCCAAATGAGTGTAGAGAAAACCTGCTTAGTATTTGAAGTCTAAGACTGATGTGGGATAGCTGGAGACACCTGTTTAAATGAGTTCATATGAAATCAGGTATAGGAACAACCTGTAGATGCGGCTACCAGAATTGCTGTCAGAACTCTAGAGAAACAATGAACAATAGAAGACCAGAGATGGATAAACACCACCCTATTTTCCTAAGGGGAAATAAAGAAGATTCTAGAAACTCCAGAATGGTGAGTTTAAAGTAAAACTCAGGCAAAATCTGGAATAAGATGGTAAACATGTGACTCCTCATTATCACTTGTTTCAACTCTTCAATGAAGTCATACCAAACTAACTTCCTTTCCTTCTTGATAGGATTACTAGAGCCACCCAGGGAAATGACAGTAAACACTTACAGATCACTTGGTGCTAGACTTGGTTCCAAGGGATTAAACCCTTACAAGGACCCTACACTGGAGGTACTAACATTATGCCCATTCGGCAGATGAGAACACTGAGGCAAGTTAAAGCAATCTGCCTAAAGGCCATACATAGGTAGCATTCCTACCAAGGCATGTGGCCCCCCAACTTGGGCTTCTCACATTCAGCTACAATACCTTTCCATACAAATGGCATGGCTACTAAAAACTGGGGACGTGGTAACCCTACCTTTCTCATACGGTAAGGGAACTTGCTCTATACAGAGAGGGAAAAGGGTGGGAACACACCTGGCCTGGCTCTGCCCTCTTTCCCATTCATGTCTCTGAGGAACAGGAGTGATTTCCTGATCGCCAAGATTGGGGGACATAACTGAGCACACTTTCCTGGCACGGTAGGGTCATTAGGGCAGAATCTGACACTGCAGGGGGAGCCTGTAGCCCAAGGTGGGCACATTGAAAGTATTTTAATACCCAGTTCATCACCAGACCAAAAATCAGACCAGAGGCAGACACAAACCACAGTGTGCCAGTGCCAGCCCTGGGGAGTCTGCGCCACCAGGGTTCTTAGCCAGGGTAACCAGAGAGCCCTGCTGTGGTCTTAGTTTCACCAATCCAGTCTTCTCAGTAAAAGATGAGCTCTTTGATTTCCATTAGTTTGAGTTCTATGTCTCTGCTTTCAATCTGTTCTGGACTTAGGAGGGAAGGACAAAGACATGATTATCACCACCAAACCCCCAGGTGTTCTCTGCATGTTTCAGATAATATCTCAAATACTAAATGCAGTTTCAGACGACATTTTAGAAGTGACATCAACAAACTATAAAGCACTAAAAAGCCAGGATCAAGCCCACACTGGGAACCACGTGGTATGAAGTAGATGGGAGAGGGTGCATTCATGTCATAGCTCCCATTGTGGACACGGATGACCTGGGAAGCCCAACACACTCAGGCAGGCTTGTGGGGGTGGTGGTGGTGGTGCTAGGACCTGGGACACAAAATGGTCTGTACAAAGAAAGTGATAGCTTTGGGACCAAGGTAGCCTCTCATTTCTCTGGAGTATGGATCATCAAATTATGGCACCAGGCCTTCTCTTTCACAAATAAAGTTTTATTGGAACACAGACATGCCCATCTACTTACATATTGTTTATGGCTGCTTCTGCCCTCTGCTACAGCAAAACACAGTTGTTACAGAGACAGAATGGATGGCAAAGCCTGAGATGTGTACTCTTTGGCTCTTTTCAGAAAAAATCTGCAGACTAAGAAGTAACTCTAACAGCCTGGAAGTGTGGGGAAAAGGAAGGAAGGAGGGGAGGGGAGGAGGAAGGGAGGAGTACGCACAGAGCCAGGGGCGACGCTTTAGTGGCGTATGTTTTACCGAAGGGACGGGGATAGGCAGAGAAGAACCAGTTAGGGTGGAGCAGTCACCATGCC